GGGGCCCACGGCGCAGCCCAGGATGTCCCACACTCTATTCCGAGTTGTGGTCCTTGACACATCTTGTTTCCGGGGTAAGCTGCTGCCTGGGAGGAAAGCGACCACAGTGCGGGGAAGGGGTGCAACTCAGGGTAGCCCAGGGCCCCGAGAAAGACTGCCAGGCCTACACCGGCATTGTCCCCAAGAGATAGCCATGCCCCCACCGGGTTTCTAAAGGGAGACAGCTGTGGCATGGTCACGTTGTCAGTCACAGGCCACGCAATCAAAAATACACATCTGTGGCGTGAGGGTGGGAGAGAACAGAGACGGCACTGACAGCGAGGTGAGGACCCCCTCCTGATGTGTGCATAGCGGACATGACTCAGCGATGCGTCATGTCCCAGCAGGGCCTGTCGTGTCCGTTTGACTTTTGTCACTAATTCACCCTGATGCCCTAGTTTGGGAAGGGAGGGCTGATTTTAATAGACTCAAATTTAAAAGGCTCAAAATCATAGAATTCATTCTATTCCCCTTCAGTTATAATTACTACCTGCTCCGGCTTACCCACCTGACACCTAGAAGGCATCTGTCACCAGTGGACAGGGCTTCTCCTAATAAATAAAGTGAGTGCGCTCACTAATTAATTTTTAAAACGTGTTTCCCTCAGCCTTTGGAGAACTCCAGGACAGGAGGGCACAGTAAACCCGTGGCTTGTCTGTGAGGTGTTCCAGGGCGTGCCAGTGCCAGAGCAGAAGAAGCTGGCACTGACTCCCAGGGTTAGCATTACCCAGCTGTGTGACTGCAGATAAGTGCCCTCGGCTCTCTGAGCCCTTGGCTTCACAGTAAAACGAGGTCACCTGTCCCTGTGTTCAAGATTCGTGTGGGGGTTACAGAAACAATCTAAGCACAATGCTAAACACAGCCGTCTGTGTAGAATATGCCCCTGTTAACAGAAATCGTTAATATCATTCAGAAAACAACTGGAGGGGAAAGAACTTTCGCTGTGTCCAGCAGAGGTGTAGATGCACCCTTGCTCCTCCCTGAATGGCTAATGCTTGAAGACACAATGTTCTCCCTGAATAGCACTCCATCACCACCAGAGTCTTTTCCATCATGTTCCTTGAATAAAGCAAATGGAAAGTGGGTCTCTCATCAGGGGTCTGCCTGGCGATGCCCACACAGCAGCAACTCGGGGCTGCTGGAGCTAGGAAGAGGACAGGCAAACTCCTAGAAGGATGTCTAAAGCATCCCAGGATCCCAAGTCCAAGGATTCCTTCCCCAGGCCTGTCCCCACTTGTCATCCCACCTATGAAACGGGCTAATGACATTCCCAGGATGTCAAGTTCTGACTAAATTAAAATCAAGCGCTGGGTTCCTCAGTTTTATGTTAGGCTGCCAAGATTCACAGTTGTTGAGAGAACTAGTGAAGAAAGACTGACGATCCATGATGCAAACCAGAAGCAAGCTGCCGGAAGCATCAAGAAATCCCAGGCAAAAAGCAGAAAATAATAGAAGGGCTGACCAGCAAGAGGCCAAGAGCCTTCACATTCAAATATATCAAATCAGTCCTTCTCAAACCTCAGAACAGGTAAGAATTCTCCAAGGAGCGCTCAGAAAATGCAGGCTCTCGGCCTTCCTCCTGCAATCTGGACGCCAGGCCCAGGAATCCACATTAGATGACACCTAGCTTATTACCGTGCAAGTGGTCAAGGTCCACATTTGGACAGATGGTAGCAGCCTTCCCCACAAACTCTTGTTCAGCTGCTTTGTTTGTGAGTAATGAACACATTTCCTCAGGTAAGAGATGGAAAGGGAGGAAGCAGAACTTTAACTCTTTAACTTGGAAATTTGCAAGGTAATTAATAAGGGCTTGGTTATTTGCTCGAAAACAGTGTTCATGCACACACTGTAGATTAGATAAAAATATTACATTCAGGTGATTTAATATTTCTGAGATGGAATAAATTCAGTGGCTGAGTGAAAGGCAAGAAGCAAACTATCTCTCACCTGAAGTTAGCAGTTAAGATAATATTTCAACTACCCATTGGGAAAGGGAAGCTTGGACCAACTACACAGCCAAGTGGTACACTCAAGAACTCATCCCAGAAAGGGTTAAATGCAATCACAGCTGAACAATGGCTATTTCTAACTGCACGTAACCCCGGAGAAAGGTGTTGGGGTCCAAGGTGACCTAATATTTTCATAAATAACTCTTAAAGATGGAGTGGGAATTATGCAAATCAAACCACAGATGACACAAAAATGGCAGGGATTGCAAATCTGTGGAGAATGAAATTTAACTACTGGGCAATGTCTTTAAATTTGCCTTTATTGAATCTTGTCTATTGAAGTCACACATTACTGTACCTGTTTATTGAGACTCAATAGGGCCAAATGCAGAGTGATTTGTGGAAAGAGGGACAATCAAAGGCAGGCATGAGTGGAAAAGAACAAACACCTGGAGGGACCTGGCATGGATGGGGTAGGGCGGGCACGGGGCAGCAAAGTAGGCTATGCTAAGCGCTGGTGTGTAACATAAACAGGGAAATGTGTCTGTTGCTCTTGAGCCACTTGGCCCTGATGTTGCTTCCAACGGGAGTGCTACGCTTAGACGCAGACCCAGAAGGGAATGCAGAGCAGGACAGCATAGAGATTACGGGTTGAGGCCCTAAACCAACGGAGACTCCAGGGAGTCACAAAATGCTGCATGTGCCTACAATTGGCCAAAGATGCACAAAAGACAAGGGGACCTTTAGGAAAGAACATTTTCAGCTTCTATGAAGGAGAAGCAATCATTCAAAGCACAGCTGGAATCATGGGGGGAAAAAAACAGGGCAGCTTATGGTAACACCATCCCTGGGGACAGTCGAGAAGGGCGACCAGACACCTCTCTACTTAGGATGCATTAGAGATTATTAAAAGCATTCCTTGCCCAGTTGAGGAGTGGGGGGTGGGACTCATGACCTCTCCAAAGGTCATTTCTATCCCAAAGGATCCTATGACTGAAGGGCACCAGATAAAAATAAAGTCTATTAATCACTAAGCTGCCATACAGTGTCCTAAGAGAGCCAGAGTAGAGAAGGGCAATCTACAGTGGGCCTCGCTCCTCCACGGGAGGAAGAGGGAGGCTGCATACGGGCGGGCAGAGGCAAGAAAGCAGCTGCTGAAGACTCTGGAAAGCCAATATCAGCTTATACATTAGGCCTCCCAAGGACTCCAGGGTGCCAGGAAGGTAAAGAGGCCCTGTGGGGAGTGGATCAAGCAGCACACAGCACCGAGAGCCGCGAACTAAGTCAGGAGCTCGCACTCTATGCAGAAGGAGGGCGGCTGGATGAGAGGATGCTCAGAAAGGGCGCCTCATGAAGATAACATACAAGGAGGCGGATCTCAGAGAGAAAGGTGGGAAGAGAGGGACCCGGCAGCGAGAGAAGCAAGAGCGAAGGGCACACAGGGTGTGACTGGTGCTACATGGGACTTTTATTGGCTAGGAATCCAGTGAAAGCCATGGAGATAATTCTACTACCGATGATAGCAGAAAATCGCATACATAAAAAAAGCTTTCTAAAGGAGGAATAGAGCAGCAGTGCCCCAGTTCCAGAGCAGCTGTTGGCACTCTTGATGGATGGCCTGTTCCATCCAGACGCAGCTGAAAGCCTGCGCTGCTGGGCCTGAGGACCCTCCCAGCCCACAGCGCAGAACCAGTCTCCCAAGGGCTAGCATTCTCGGGCCGTCTCTACGTCAGAACCAAATGGAGCCCCATCCAGGAAGCAAGACCCAGGCCAAAGCAGGCAGCCCCTGGCATTACCAGAAAACATCAGATCCATCCCCTGCTCCCACCTCATCCTGGAAGGCAGCTGCCACAGGGTGGACACGTTACCCGCAGGCGGCGTCTCAGGAATGTCATCCACACGGTGTATTGAGCAGCCAGGTAGGGCTCATGGAGTTTGAGTTCTTCTAGGAAAATGTTCTCCAGCCAGCTGCCACCCCACCAGGCATAGAATAACTTTTTGAAATCAAAAGAGTCCAGGGAAGAGGGAGGAAAAAGACAGCACCCCAGCGCAGCCCCTGTGCCCCTCTCCCCTGGCTCTCTCCCTGGCAGGGTGGAGGGGCTCCCAGAGCAAGCACCGAGCCAGGACCTGCTGCGGCCTCTTTGCTGCCAGTTTCACAGCAGTCCCATCTCCTCTACGGCAGAGCCCCCTGCGCTTAGGGGGAGAAGACGGGAAGGGAAGATCATGGGGAGTAGGTTTGAGGGTCACCCTTGCCATGGAATGAGCCCATATAGCCTGATGTAGTAAGAAGTTAACCAGGGCAAGGATTTCAAAGCCACCACCCCAGGCCCTGGCACCTGGGAAGGACAAAGGCCGCGTCTCCAGCTGACCACAATCCTGCCTCAAGCTTCTTGAGGGTTCTCGAGGTTCACCTTGGCCACGACTCCTGGCCACTCCTGTTCCTCTGCCCACCCTAGCGCTATCTGCAGGCTCTAACCCAGAAGGCAGGTAGTTGCTTGTCCAAAAGATGTCTCTGAAGCAAGCAAGAAAAGCTGGAGATGGATGGAGGGCCATTTATTAAAGTAAGTCATTGTCATAGGAAGATTCATAACCTGCCCTACCTCGGACAAGAGAGAGAGAGGAAATTAAAGGGAAACAAATGGAAAGCCACAGAAGCCAAGTACCTTTGTTGGAGGGGTTTCAGTTATGCTTTTGTTTGTAACTCTCTGAAACAGAGAGAGACACAGAGGGTGAATGTTAAAAAGAGACGGGGAGAGTGAAGGAGAGCAAGCCAGGGGAAAGCCGGGAAGGAGAGCCTGCCAGACACAGGAGCACAGACCTAGGGAGGAGCTTCCCAGATGGGCTTCTCCCTCACGCACAGACGTCCCTGCCGCAGCAACAGCAGGAGGAGCGGGTCTGCGGTGGAGGTGCAAGCGGCCAAGCCAGGGTAGAGTCCCAGCAGCTGGTGGGCCGGAAGCCCACGCAGCACAGGGAAGGGTGGGGCCAGGGCGGGGCGGGGGAGCCTGTACTTACTGTCACAGACGTAAGGTTTGTCGTGATCTTCCTGAGAGGCGGCGTCGTGCCTCCTCCTGCCACCCGCAGAGCCACGAGCCTGGGGAGACATTGGGTTTGGGGATGTTTGTTATGACGGTCATCACGACAGGCCCTGAGCGTGCAGCCTGCGAGGCCCTGCCTGCTTCCCCTGCATCTCCACGTGCCACCTTCGTCACAGCCCTGGAGCTGACTCCAACCCGGTTTTACAGGTGAGGAAACTGAGGCCCAACCCCAAATCACTCAGCTACTCACCTGGACCATCTCATTAAGTCTTCACAATAACTCCAAAAAAGAAGGCAGCACAATGATCTCCATTTCAGATTAGGAGACTATGGCAAAAGAAGGTCAAAAATCTTGCCCAAGATCATTCAGCTACTAAGTGCAAAGCCAGCACACAAACTCAGGGCAGTACGACTGAAAACCCAGGTCTAGCCATGCATGGTGGTGCAGGCCTATAATCTCAGCACTCTGGGAGGCTGAGGCAGGAGCATCAAAGTTTAAGCCCAGCCTGGGAAACTCAATAACTTAGCAAGAACCTATCACAAAACTAAAAGTTTGAGAAAAGTGTCTGGGGACATAGCTCAGCCCCCAATACTGCAAAAGAGAAAAGGAATGTCTCTACGTCCACCAAATTCCCACACCCCAAGGCCTCTTCCTCCAGCTTTGTGGACAGCATGAAGATGCCAATTCTGCTCTTCCTGCTGATCAACTGATAGCTTTTAGGAGCAAGTCCTGGTGAGGCAGGAGATATAATGGCAACTGTCAGCCCAGGTTCCTATGCCCATACTGCCAACCTCCCACGTGTCTCAGAAAATAGCCAGGCCTGGCGTCTGGACCCCAGGCACAAGCCCAGGCACGGAGAACTCTCCCTGCCCCTTCTCAGAGGGTTGGTCTGCCTCCAGCCCACAACTGCAACCTTGCCTCTCACGGTCTCCTGGGCTGGACCCTGGTGCCCCCTCCTGTATGCATTTCCCGGGAAGGGTCAGTGGAGTACGGGGGCGGCAGAGAGGGTGGTGGTGAGTTCTACCTTTGGGAATAAGACACCAGCCAAGAGCTGGCCGGCAGCACTGCAGCCCAGCACAGCGGCTCAGTAAGGTTTATTTTTAAACCCTTGTAAGTCCCACACTGGTCACGTGTAGCACCCTGGTCTCTTCCAGGTCATTCTTTGATGACGAGTAGCAGTCAACTCCCGCCAAGGAAAGGGCGGCTGAGGGTTTAGGGGACAGAGAAGGAGGGGCACCCGATGAGGCTAAGACACAGCAGTGCCCCGGGGTGCAGGGCAAGTGGGGCAGGCTCAGGGCCTGGCCTAGGGGACTTCACGATGGAAAGGCATGGGTGCTCCTACCGGCATGCACACACGTGCGCACGCACACACACTTCACCGGGAAGTTCAGAGTGGGAAGACTTGGGATGCTTGCACACACACACACTCACACACACTCACACACTCACAAGTGCATGCACCTCAATGGAGACTTCACAGTAGAAAGAGCTGTGCCCCAGGCCTGCAGCGCACACACGTCACAAAGCACACACTTCACAATCAAGCCCACCTGCCAAGCTGCCGCCCCTGCCACCGCCTCAGCACGGTTCCACCTCCCTCCTCTGGCTGCTCCCCCCCCACCCCACACACTGACAGCCAGCAGCCCTCCCCCGCCCCACCCTCATTACTCTGAGTTGACCCCAAGAGGGAGCACGAGGCACTGGCAGTCACCCCACAGCTCTGACAGGCCCCGTGCCCACGAAACCGAGGGTGGTCACCCCCAGCGGCTCTCAACCCCCACCCGCCCCTGCAGAGGAGCTAGGGACAGCCTGACGTGCAGCCTGCGGCCCTGTCACTGCCGCCTCTGAGCAGGTGAAAGTAAGTCAGGCAGAATGAGGCGGGCGCAGCAGACGTGGAAAGGGCTCCACGGGACTAGAAATAGCTCCAGGGAGAAGAGAGGTATCCCCGGTGAACCAAAGCACCAGGGATTGCGGGCTGCGGGGACAGCAGGAGGGGTGGCCTGAAGACAGCCAGGCTTTCATTCCCCCACCACAGGGCTGGCCAGCCTGACGGATGCTTGCTCCCACACATTGTGCCTCAGTTTCCCCCACTGCAGTACAGGACTATAGCTATAGGGCCTTTGAGGGGATGGGCAAAGGATGCTTCCTGAGGTAACTTGAATATAATTGGTCCTGCACCACCACTGCTGCCTCCCCCAAGAAGCCCTCTCCGACCACGGATATCCACTCGTGCCCGCTCCTCCCTTCCCTTTCCTCCACCCTGCTCTGTCTCCTCTGACACTGAGCACCGTCTGCCGTGGTATCACACGTGTTGCTTTGCTTATTGATTTTCTGTCTGCCCCAAGCGAGGTGCAGAGCCGTCTCTTTGGATCACCAATATGCTCAGAACCAGGCACAGTGCCGGCCAGCCACGTACATGGCCCTTAAACATTTGCTGAATACAGAGTCAGCGAGGCAGGAGGCAGTGAGTCAATCATCTCTGCTCTTCTTCCCCTGTCCGTGTCCAAGTGCTACGGTTTCTTCCTTCAAAGGCCATCGCAGGCTATGCATTGCCTCCCTGTTCCACACCCTAATCCAGGAGCTCATCAACTGAGCCCTGAAGAGCCCAAAGAACTCACCAGCTGGGGTTCTAAATCCATACTGCCCCAGCCAGGCAGCGTGGCAGGACTGCCAGGCCACTTAGACCAGAGGGATGAGGGGCAGGAGTCTATGGTCACTTGTTCATTCGCACATTCTTGCATTGTCACCTACAACCCACTTACCGATCCGATGGCAGCCTAGGGCTTACTCCATCAGATTCACCCCAGGCTCCAGGGACAGCCATGTCTTTGCATTCCTCAAGCTCTGCACAGCTAGCCTCTCCCCTGCCCATGCACACTCAGTCTATGCTTTAATCCTGCTAGCATCCCACTCCTCCAAAAATCTTCCTGTTGAACATTGAAGAGTAAAAAGAACATCACTTGCAAGTTGGACAGACATAGGTTTGCACGCCAGCTGTATTAGTCAGTTTTTATTACTACAACAAAATACCTGAGTTGGGCTACTTTATCTTAAAGAGAGAGAAAAGTTAATTTTGACTTATGATTCTGGAGGTGCATGGTCTAGGGACCCCCTCTGGTGATGGCCTTGATGCTGGGAGTCTCCAAGTGGCAAAGAGCATCATTGGGCAAGATACAAAGGGCATACATGTGTGTGGGTCTCTTCTGGTCTCTCCCTCTTAAACAGTCACCAGGATTCGACCACAGAAGCTCCACCCTCACGACCTTATCTAATGCTAATCACCTATCGCTAAATACCACAGCCAGATTAAGTTACCACCTTCTCAATAGTCCACAAAAAGGATTAAATTTCAAGATATAAAGTCTTAGGAGACACTCAACCCAAACCCAAGCATACATTCACCTTATGTCTTGGCCAGGTTACTTCTCTAGATAGTGTTAGCCACAAAATGGGCCCAGCAACACCTCGATGGCAGAATTGCTGAGAGTTACAGCCAAGCGGTGTGAAACCACAGGGGACCGTGCTGAGTCCACAGGAAGTATCTGACAAATTATTTTCCCTCCTTGCCCACATTGGTCTCTGTCTCCTCTGGACTCTTGTTGCATTTGGTTAGCGCATGCTCAGGTGCTTGCGGCTATCTCATGGTACCATGGGTCTTAGCATCTTCTCCCCAGTTTCATTCTAACATCCTTGAGCACCAAGATTTTATACTTTATAATGAATCCCTAACACTTAGCATAGCAATATGCAAAGCCAATAAAGCTCTGTCATATATATTACCTCAATTCACTCCTGCAATTATCCTATAAGTGAGACCAATTGTGTTATTAGTCCTATTTGTCTCTTGGTGAAATAAGGTCTGAGATGGGCCATGACTTATCTGGACACAGCAGCAGTGGAAGGAGGAGGACCTAGTTTTCCAAACTGTCATAGGAACCTTTGAGGTTGACTCCCCAAAAGAAACCCATCCTCCTCCCCTCATGAGAAACGCTCACTCCACACCACTCCTCCCCAGCCCAACTCCCATTCACATGCACTGGCTGGCCAAGGTAGCCATGATTGCACCACACAGCCCTGCCCCTCCGGCCACAGTTGATTGGCTGGCTTGGGACTAGTCACCTGTTTACTGAACCAATCCAATTCTACCTCCAAGTTTAGCCAATCAGATCCTACCTCCAAGGGACTTAGAACTGGGAAACAGTGGGCCCAGTTTAGTACAAAGCACTTTAACTGTGAGGATCACAAATTCAGGAGCTGTGGGGCCGTGTGCGAAGAGGAGCAAGAAAGTGAGTCATTAGAAAATGAAACACAGAGGCAAGAAGAGTCTCACTCTTCACTATTCCCCAGTCCTAAATCCCTGCTGCTTTCTTGCCCTTCTTGTGGCTTGGATCTTCAAAGATTGCTCAAGTTTGAGGCATGACCCAGCAGCTTTTCAAGTCCTCCCCATTTTGCTCGAGCCATTGAGGTTCCCGAAACTAAAAGACCCTAAACTAGGGCAGACAGTCTCAAGCCAAGAGCTAATTCTTCTCTACCAGTTGTTCTCAAAGAGTGGTCCTGGAATCAGCATCAAAACTACTGCATAATGTGCTGAAACGGCGCTCTCTCCTTTCATTCTCACTCTCTCACAAGCGCGGGGCTGGATGTTATAGCAGCTGCGCGGCATACGACAGTGTTTCACTGTTTGTGTGCTCTTAAATTTATTTTTTTTTTGTTTGAATTTCTAATATAGCAAACCATTAGTTAATTGAACAGAAAAATGACTTTGGGTGGTTCTTAGCAATTTTTAAGACTGTAAGGAGTTGCTGAGACCAAAATAATTGAGACCCATTGCTCCACAGCCTTGCAAAGAAAAGTGTGGTCTTCAGACCAGCAGCGCTAGGAGTTTATAAACTAGGCAGAAGCTCAGTCCCCACCCCCCAGACCTGCTGCGGCAGAATTTGTACTGTACTAACTGCAAATTCCCCTGGACTACACCACCATGCATCAATAAATACTCATTGATTGATTGATTATTCTTCAATGTATGACTCAATAATTTCATGAATTTTAAAAAGCTTTGATTTCTCAGGCTGAGGTTACCATAGACACAGTTATGAATTTTTCGGTTTGAATTACCCTCAACTCTCAGGAATACACCTGGTCAAAGCTCTAAGAGTTGCTCCTTGTATTTTCACCCTCCTAATGATATCTAGGTTTATTAAGCACTCAAAATTAGCTGTGCTATTACTCCTATTTTATTTGTATTTTATTTTATTTATTGATAAGGAAACTGAGGCCTAGAACACTTATACCATTTGGCCAAGGTCACATGGTTACATAGTTCACTCAAGGTGTAGCAAATGGTAGAGCTAGGATGTGAATTCATGGGATTGTTAGGGCTTGTATCTAGATGTACCCCCAAAGCTTCATGGGCTCATATATGGGGCTTTAAAGAGTTGGCTGGATTCGGGGTATGTGATAACTAAATTAGTCCACTGATTGATTTAGCATAATTCTGGGTGTGGATGTCAGGGAAGCCTACCCTGGATGTGAGTGCTACCAACCAACAGGCTTGTAGCCTAAAGGGAATAAAAGGGAAAGGGAGGTTTGGTGCTTGTTGCCTTCTGCTTGATCTGCCATGAACCGTTTTTCCTCTATGATGTCCCTCTGCCATGCTGCCCGACCTCGGAGCCAGCTGACTATGGACTGAAGCCTCTAGAAACCAAGAGCTAAAATAAATCTCCCCTCCTTCAACTTGTGGATGTCAGGTACTTTGTCCCAGCAACAAGAAGGTAACTAAGACAAGATAGAGGTTCCAATAATGTAGTGCAGCCTGTAATCTCTTTCTTAGCCCTGGCCTCCTCAATGTGCCTACAGAGGACCTGGGGGGATAGTCAGTGTGCAGGCCCTAATCTGGTCCATGGAGAATTAACCCTACATTCCTAGCAAGCATCGGGTGCTACTGAAGCTGCAATCCAGGACTACATTGAGGGACCAGGTGTAGTCTGGCAACAGATAGAGGAGTGATTATTTTCCAGTCTCAGCAGGAGTTGGAATTGGCCACTTTAAGGAGTGGCGAGACAGCTTAATTGATGCTGTGATAAAGCAGCTTCACACACTTATTTCCACACAGAGAGGCTAACCCACACCCTCTGGGTCTTCCCACAGCTCCCAGCGTGGTTAACATGTCCACAGCGTCATTGTACGCCAAGGAGCCATGAGCTGCCATCTGGCCAGCATCAGGAAGACCCAAGTCTTGGTTCCACTCAGTCTTCAATGTCCAGGCCTTTTCTCTCTGAAGTTGAAATATGACTTTTCTTTGTTTCCCTGTTTATTTAACAGTTCATTCAACTGTTTATTTAACAAGTGGGACTTTGGCTACATCCTGCGCCCTGGACCAGTGAGAAAAACACAGTCCTGTGTTCAAATCTCGCCTCCTTTATGACTAGGTTGGGTGACCTTGAACAAGTTACTTAACCTCTCGGAGTAATAATACAACTCTACTAGAACAAAAGAAGTTCTGGCCAGTTGAACTATAATGTGAGCCATATTTGTCATTTCGATTTTTCCAGTAGCCACATTTAGAAGAGGGGAGCTGGGGATGTAGCTGTGGTAGAACTCATGATTGGCATGGACGGTCCCTGAGTTCAATCCCCAGCCCCACAAAAAAAATTTGTAATTTAAATTTAAAATAAGAAAAAGAGACCGGTGCATTTAATTCTAGTAGTATATTTTATTTAACCCAATATACCGAAAACATTATAATTTTAAATATAATTAAAATAAAAATATAGCAATAAGGTGTTCTGCATTCTCTTTTTCATAGTAAGTTTTTGAAATCTGGTGTGTAATGGACAAGCAGAAATAGAGAACATTGTGTAAAGTGCCTGGCACAAAGTTATCCTCCTCTGTGTAGCAGCTCTTTTTGAAAATAGTCCACCACTGCACCCAGTTTAAAGTGTTCAGGAGGTATGAATGGTGGCAGTTACTGTTATTCCTGTGGACAAGACACTAACTCCAATTAACCGACCTCTAGTTCAGTCTTTTAGACTTATGTTTGGAGTACAGAAAATGCAAAGAGGACCGTTTTCCACAACCTGCTCCAGAAAGTTTCATGGGAGAAGAGCAGGAAGGGAAGCAGGTCAGGAGGGACACAGCTCTTGGAGTTCACCAGGGGCCCATTCCAAGCTCCAAAGTTTCCTTTAACGATGGAATTAGTTATTCTTTATTTTGTAACTGCTCCCCACTATGAAGGAATGTGTCCAGGTTAAGTTCACCCATCGCTTCCATGAGGAACTTTCTAAGGAAGGGATCAGGCTCACAAAACCCAAATTCATGGACCAATTTCAACACCTCTGAAAGCAGAACAAATAGGTAACATAAACCTATGGGGGATGCGGCAAGAAGTACATATCATCACCTAGAAAAGACTTCTTGCCCCCTCAAAATAAATGTTTGTGTATCCATATCCTGCATCTGTTCAGGTGTCTGATCAAACAGCAGCAGAGTCTCTTTACTAGACCCCCATGGATACCTGAAACCCTAGATAATACCAAGCCCTGTCATTTAAAGCCTTTTCCATCTTAACTACACACTTATCATACACTGTGACCAGAACCTTTGCAGTGTGGGGTACAGTCACAAAACTACCAGAAATTTCTTTTTTTTCTCCCTCTCAGCTTCACAGAGAGATTCATTCTTACCCTCGATTTTAGGAAGCTCAACATTCAATACGTCTTCTTTCATTAAATAAAGAACTTGCACTTTCACTTAAAGGAAACACTTTATGTCCTCTCCATGGCTAATCAAAGAGGCCATTAGTACATAGAATAAGAATCACTTGAACACAAACACTGCGATACCACCGACAGTGAATGTGATATCCTGGGCAATTAAAGTGCCAAGTGACTGATGGGCAGGTGGCATATACAGGGTGGATGCGTTGGCTGAGTCATACGTGGGGCATGACAGACCCAGCTGACATGAGATGTCATGCCATTCAGAATGGTGAACAACTTTAAACTTATGACTTGTTTATTTCTCCAACTTTTCACTTAGTGTTTTCACATCACAGCTGACCCCAGGTAACTAAAACTGTGGAAACTGAAACCTCAGAAAGGGGAAGTTATTGGACCAATTTTCAGGAAATACTAGTGGACAGAGGAAGGCATAAAATACTACAACCCCGCTAAATCAAGACCATGAGAAATTCTATAAGACAACCTAAGTTCTTCAACAAATAAATGGACTAGAGGGCAAAACTATGTGTAAAGAGGAAGAGGCGTGTGGAGAATAAATGAGACTTAAGTTTTACGCAAAACAACCAGAAAAAAGCATTTTTTTTTTCTGAGAAATCAGAGGGAAATGATCAGAGATTGGATAGTACACATGAGAATAATGGTTGTTTTTACTAAGTATGAAAGTGATACCATTAAAGGTACAGACCAAAGTATATGATAAAATGTCTAGCATTTGCTGTCAGCCTCTCTGGGGCTGGTGGGGGGATCAAGCAAACACATAAACCAGCAAAAACAAAGAGAACAGATGAGATGAAATAGTCAAAGCATTGGTAATTGATGAACCTGGTGACCGTTAGGTAAGGGAGCATCAGCTGGAGAAAGCTCACGTCCTGTCATCGGGTGGAAGCACCACAGCTCACAGAGCAGCAGTACTGGACTACACGAAGCTGTCGCCTGGGAACTTCTATTGTGTATGTCAAAACCTGACCCCAGGCCCACTAAATCAGAATTTCTGAGTACAGGTCCTGAGAATCTGAATTTCAGTTATCTCTGTGTGATACTGGTTTGCACTAAAGCATGAGAACAGTGAGAGCAGGGAGACTTGCCATAACTATTGCTGGGCCCTAGCCCACGGGGCACACAAGACTAACCTCCTAGCTAGGAGAGAGGTGATTCCCAGGACAGCCTATGGAAGCCAGACCCTCAGGCCTAAAAGAATGAGTTCCTTGCTGGAGAGTTGCAGTCTACCCCTTTAGGGCCACTACACTTGGTCTTTGTCCTACATCCTTGCAGACGCCTGAAGAGCTACAAAGAAAGTCCCTTTGGACTTGTACAAGAGGCCTCTGCAGAACCCACCTGAACACCCAGCTTGGTTCCCTGCCCCCACAGGGACCACTTCTGTGACTTCATTCTTCTGACTACAGATGAGTTCCCTCTGCCATCCTCCAACTCAGACCCCTTCCTTGCTTGTTGCAATACCACAAGCCTCCAAAGGTCATGCCAAACCCACTGGGGACCATAAACTGTAGCTCTCTGCTTTCTTAGCAGGCCCCTAATTCTACCGAGGGAAGTGCATCCCAAAGCAAGTGTCCTGGCCCTATCATTCTGGACAACCCCTGGGACACCAAGTGTGACTGTTAATTGTTCTGTCAACTTGACTAGATTAAGAAATGCCCAGAAGATTAGTAAAGCACACTTGCAGATGTGTCTGGGTGGGTCATGGAGGTGTGACCAGGGGTACTAATCTGGTCCCTGGCCCCTTCCTCTCAGGCACTCTTCCCGGGCTCTACCGTGAAGTAAGCATCTTGGTTCTGGCATGCCCTTCCCACTGATGTTTCTGTCGTGGAGCTGGCAGACCATGGACTGGAGCCTCTGAAACCATAAGCCAAGTAAGCCTCTTCCGTAAGTCATGAGTGTTTAGTTGCAGCCAAAAGAAAGCTGACTAACAGCAAGGAAGGAAACTAACAGCCTGCTCTCTGAGACAGTCATGAGTGTGGCAGACACACTGCCCTCATCCCCCATCCTCCCTCAGAGCACCTCTGCCTCCCCTCCTCCCCCCTGACAGCTCTGAACACTTCCAGGCTACCACGAGGATGACAGCTTCTCTGAGTTCTTTCCAAGTACAATCATGGACACCATCACAACCAAGCCAGAGGGGGACCCGGAATGCACGTAGGCATTGATTGTTCTTCTGGCCTCCACTTTGCTAATCTCTTCCCTCCCTCCTGGTATCCCCCTACTTACCCGTCCTCGGGTCCTATTCTTCCGCTTGGGAATATCCTCTTCTAGATCCTCTTCTTCATTCCCTTCATCTACATTTTCATCGTTTTCCAAAACTCTCTGGAATAACAAGAAAGTCAATAGAAGAGTTGAGAAATAAAATCCAAAGGAAAAAACCTCAGAGGGTAATTTTGGGAGTGTTCCACTTTGCCTTTGGTGTTTTATTTTGTTTTGGTTTTGTTGTACTTTGTTTCATTTTGTTTTGTTTTATAGTACTGGAGATTGAACCAAGGGCCTTTGGCACTGAGCTACATCCTTAGGCCTTTTTTAAAAAAAAATTTTTTTTTTTAATTTTGAGACAGTCTTTCTAAGTCATTAAATTGCCCAAGCTGGGCTTGAACTTGCAGTCTTCGTACCTCAGCCTCCCAGAGTGCTGGGACTGCAGACCTATACCACCAATGCTGGCAAAATTTACTTCTTTAATGTAATTAATTTTTGTGCGCCTAAAGGGCCACCTGAGAAATATAAGAATACGTTTCTCATTTCCCTACCTTTCTGGAACCCCACCCTGATTGATGAAAGCAAGTAACTTCCTATGCCTTTGACTGGAATGTAATGTTAATGCGCTGCTCCTAATAATCTGTTGTTAGCCAGGCTTGTGGCAAATGCCTGAAATTCCAGCATTCAGGAAGCTGAGGCAGAAAAATCGTCATGAGTTCAAGGCCTACCTGAACTACTTAGCAAGACCTGTCTGAAATGAAATGAATGAAAGGAAGTGAAAGGAAGGGAAGGGAAGGGAAGGGAAGGGAAGGGAAGGGAAGGGAAGG